CGTCAGACTTTCCAAAAAGTAGATTAACTGATGCGAAAGCGTTGTTACCTCTTTCTAAGGCATCATAATATATATATATATATATATTTTGATTTCAGTTGAGCACTCTGGGAGTAGGGTGTGGGTTTGTAAACAGTGACTATTATAGCTAATATAGCGAGACTCTTCGCGTAAGCGAATTGAGTCACTGTCAGTCACTGGGCATGTTTACAAAAGTAAATGCGCTAAAAATCTACCTCCATTCCTACCGTGCGCCGACGGCTTAGTGGTTAGAAGCTCCGACTGACACCAATTCAGTTGGGTTTCGATCCTAGCTAGAGGCAAACGGATGTCTAGCCGCACTGATGAGCTGTAAACAGCGAAACAGTCTGTCTGTGGATGACATTATATATATATATATATATATAATGTAGTGGTTTCAACGGGAGAAAAGTATGTATATTAAAAAGAAGAGAAGAGAGGTGCCGCAAACATTTTTGGTTGTAATGTGCATTTATTTAGAAAAAATATTATGCTTTGTTTTACATAATTTTACGACACGAGTTTCTGGTCTCGCGACCGTCTTCAGGTAAAAGTGGAGATTTCCACATATTAAAAATAATTAATTTTTCCTCATGTTTAATGTTAAATATTCTCGATATGAGACATTTTCTGTTTGTGTGTTGGTAATCTGAATTTCTTTCTTGAATTGATATATATATATATACATATATATATATATGTGTATATATATATATATATATTATAATTATTTTTTAAAAAATATGATTCATTCGCTAGTTCTCATGTTTCAAAAACGAGAGCCGAAACCCTCAATATAATTATTAAAATTGAATTAAAGTAACAATCCCTGTTTCATCCTCAAGCGAAAATTTAGGAATAATCTTGAAATTTACGCATCTTTATAAGCATGTTCATTCATTACTATGGAAACGGCTGGGGCGACCATTTTTGCTAAGGGGCCTAAGAGTTAATTTTTATCCACATATCAGTCACCTTCGGAAAGAGGTCAAGCCGAGGTGAAAAAATGGGTGTCTATTTTCAAAGCGAATGATGGCGTTCATGTACGCACATCGTCTGGTCAGTCACAGAGAAAGATAGCTTTTGGCACCATGGTATGTCGTTAAGTGTCTAGAGAATTTTGTTTTAACTTTATTTTATTTATTTATTTTTGCAAAGGGCTGTTTCATATATAAACGTGTCGCACTGAATTCTTATATTCCAAGAATAAATGGTAGTTCATAGTTAACGAAGAGAAGGAATCTGTGGAGAGTCATTATCGCTTGTCTTGAAGAGGTGTGTCATTTCTTTTAAAAAAAAAAGTTAGCTGGAATTTATAAGTGGGTATGGCGCGCCTTGAAAAAGGTTATGAACCACTAATATACATATAAATAGTTTTGCCATTCATATTTACCTATATGCTGGTCTACAAGACGACTGGGCGTATAAGACGACTCCAAAATTTTCATGTTAAAATATAGGTGTCGGGCTATATTCTCCGTACAAGACGACACCCACAATCGTATTTTAGAATGTATTGAATTTATTAAATAAAATAGTAAGCATATTATTAGATTAGATTTTCTATTATTTTATGATAATAATGTGAATTATGTTGTTTCAGTAAAAAAATATATATTTGTATCGATAGTTACCAAGGAATGGATTAGCCTACATTAAAAATTCTACCATGAAAATAAATTACCATAAACCACAGAATTTAATGTTCACATTTTATACCTGGAGCATAAGGAGATCACCTATTTTGATGGGGATTTTTTAAGCTTCAAAGATCGTCTTGGACGCCGACATATTAGTTATGTGTCAGACGTGATACACGCTTAGCAATATCAATCGCTATCTACTATCCTCCTGATTACTCATTTCTCTTTCCGATCATTATTAATGTTTCTTTTCCTAATTCTTCCACACCCTGTAACCCTTTATATCTTAGTGGCTTTATTGCCATGTTTGATGGATGTCAGTTATCAGTTATCTCCCGTTAATTCCCCTCTCCAAGTTCTCCACTGCCTTAACCGGGTGTCCTCAAGGACACATGACATAGTGGATAAAGGCGTTAGTTAGATCCAGTGACAGGATCCAAAGAATGTGAGTTCAATACCTGATTAAGGCAGTGAAGAAATTGGAGGGAGGAATTAACAGAAGATAACTGATAACTGACATCCATTCAACATGGCACGTGGAACTAGAACAGTCTACCCCAGTGATCGAAATAAAGGGTTCAGTTTGACATTCCAACCACCTGAAGAAGGCCGAAACGTTGTAATAAATATGGCGACAAAGATGAGGACAATAGTCCGAATAATGTAAATAGTGTACATAATACCTCATCTCAGAAATATAGACAGATACTGAAAGGCCGAAACGTTGTAATAAATATGGCGACAAAGATGAGGACAATAGTCCGAATAATGTAAATAGTGTACATAATACCTCATCTCAGAAATATAGACAGATACTGAAAGGCCGAAACGTTGTAATAAATATGGCGACAAAGATAAGGACAATAGTCCGAATAATGTAAATAGTGTACATAATACCTCATCTCAGAAAATATAGACAGATACTGAAAGGCCGAAACGTTGTAATAAATATGGCGACAAAGATGAGGACAATAGTCCGAATAATGTAAATAATGAACGAAATATCTATAGCTACCATAGAGTGGTCTGAGTTACCAGGATGGCAGTATTGCGAAGCTCGGTAAGAGAGGAGGTAAAAAATAAGAAATAAATATTTCTATTCTTTTTTTCAATGTCTCTAAGAACTTTTTCCTATTTTTTTGGATGTAAAGCTTTCACTCTTTTGTCACGTTCATCCCATGCTAATTCCGAGGGTGACTTCAAAATTTTGAACTGTAAAATATTTCAATAAAATGTTTAAATTTTCACGATACTAAAAAATAGAAATGAACCGGATGTTTAGCCATTGCATGTTTCTCCATCTAATTTCCGTTTCAAAACTTATTTTCAAATGCTGGGATTGAGGAATCGGAGAGCCGAGTTCAAATTCCAGTCGAATCCGTCACATTCACTTTCGTGCTTGGGAAAGGTACGAATCCGCTTCTTCTCTCCCCAGCTATGAGTAAATAGCAGGACAGACGGGGTTCTATAGCTTTGGATTGCAACTGGTCTACCGCAGAAAGAAATGGCAACCTACAGCGGGAAAAAAAATCTACCTCGTCAGTCATGTATCGAAAGATACATAATCGCTTAATCGTGTATCACGCTTGGCACATAATTGACTGACTGAATGGTTTGGTTTTGTTTTGTTTTACGGCATATCAACCTCAATGGGTTATTTAATGTCGACAAAATTTTTTATCGCTGGTAATATTTTGTTTTGTCAAAAATCTGTTTCTGGTAATATTTTTCCTTGAAAAATGTATTGCTGGTAATAATTTTTTTTCCAAAAAGTATTGCTGGTAATAATTTTTTTTTTCAGAAATGATAGTAGTTAACTATTTGACAATAGCTGGGACCCTAACAGGTGCTACCACCCCGGGTCAGGGTAGACCTGGGAACACCAGCAATTAAGAGGTGGTTCCACGCTCCTCAAAACCTTGCTGCTGGACTGAATGTTATCAAAACTTGACAAATCATCTGTACTCCTTTTATTCATTTTTTTTAATCCAATTTCGGTGAAGTTAATGTCTTTGAGACAAAAAACGTCCAATTACTCTGATTGCCGACATATCAAATACCTTTTGTAAACAATTGTCATCAACAACTGTCTAATTTTACTATCTATTGTGCTAATTGAGTATATTTGCATTCTGTTTCAAATAAGATGAAATATGTTTTAAGTTGGTTAAAAATTCCGAAAACATGCACTTATGTATAATACGCCTCCCTTTATTGCCTTTAAGTTTTGTTCAAAATTTCTCGAATAATGTACAAGAAAATCGGGGTATAAAATGCGTAATTATTTTTGTTGGAAGGACATTCAGTATCGAAAAAGTTTGGTTGTTACCCAAAAGCAATTGTGCTGTCGAAACGATCGGGCTATTTGCATGAACAGAGCCGCGCCTCTGCGTTATTTGCTGGGACTCACAAATCCTTTGCCTCATTCATATTTCATAAGTATTGGTCAAGTTCGTTCCTTTCCTGTCGCTAAAACAATCACCAAAGTCAGATAGACAGAAAGAAAGAGAGTTTAAATAGAAGGCAACAAAGCAAATAAATAAGAAAAAGAAGAAAAAAAAACAAGAAAAGAAAGAAAGAAGAAACCTGTAACTTTGGATATAAGATAACAAGGGAAAGAGAGAAAGAAAAACAATAGAGAGAAAGAAAGAAAGAAAGAAAGAAAGAAAGAAAGAAAGAAAGAAAGAAGGGAGAGGCAATTAAGTTTCACAAAAGATAACAGGTTATATAAATAAAAAAATGGAGAAATAAAGAAAGAAAGAAAGAAATAAATAAATAAAGAAAGAAAGAAAGAAAGAAAGAAGAGGCAATTACGTTTCACAGAAGATAACTGGGTATATAAATAAAAAAATGAAGACAAGAAAGAAAGAAAGAAAAAAATAAAGAAAGAAAAAAAAGAAAGAAAAAAAGAAGGAATTTTGCAATTAAGTTTCACAGGAGATAACTGGGTATATAAATAAAAAAATGAAGACAAGAAAGAAAGAAAGAAAGAAAGAAAGAAAGAAAGAAAGAAAAAAAGAAAGAAAGAAAGGAAGAAGGAAGAGGCAATTAAGTTTCACAGAAGATAACTGGATATATAAATAAAAAAATGAAGACAAGAAGAAAGAAAGAAAAGAAAAAAGAAGAAAAAAGGAAGAAAAAAAAAAGAAAAAAGAAAGAAAGAAAAAAAGAAGGAAGGAAGAAGGCAATTATTTTTCACAGAAGATAATATAATATATAAATAAAAAAAAAAAAAGAAAAAAAAATTAATTTAAAGAAAGAAGAGGCAATTACGTTTCACAGAAGATAACTGGATATATAAATAAAAAAATGAAGATAAGAAGAAAGAAAGAAAGACTAGGTAGAATAAATAAATAAATAAAGAACGAACGAAAGAAAGAAAGAGCAAATCAATGTAAATAGAAAATAACAAGATAAAGAAAGACAATGGAAAAGAAAGAAAGAAAGAACAGTAACTTTGGATAGAAGATAGCAAGGCAAAGAAAGAAAGCAAGAAAGAAATGAAGAATGAAAGAAAGAACAAATAAATTTAAATAGAAAATAAAACTATTTTTAAATTTGTTTAAAAAAGAAAGAAAGATAAGATTAGACAGAATATTCGGGAAAGGAAAAAGAAAGAAGGAAAGACAATAGAAAGAAAGACAGAAAGAAGAAATGACGTTTGACAGAAGATAGCAAGGCATATAAATAAAAAATAACGACAGTAAGGAGAAATAAATAAAGAGAGGGAGGAAGGAAGGAAGGAAGGAAGGAAGGAAGGAAGAAAGAAAGAAAGAAGAATTTGAAAAAATAAAAGAAATTCAAAAGAATGTCTGAAAAAGGTTCATGAAAATAAAAAATAAAAAAAAAAAAAGCAAAAAAAAGTAACAAAAAGAGATAACGGAAAATGAAAAAGAAAAAAAGAGAAAAAAGAAAGAAAAAAAAGAAAAGAAAGGAAAGAAACAAAAAAAAGAAAAGAAAGAAAAAAAAAAAAGGAAAGATAAAAAGAAAAAAAAAATTATCCAAAAAAAATATGGCGGAATGTAGGATGGCAGAAAAGCAAAGTTTAACTTAAAAAAGTCGGGTTTTAATCTTAATGGTTTTAATTAGAAATTTTTTTAGCACCAGATAGTAAAGAAGCAGAAATTTCTAGGAATTGACCAGCTGTCAGGAATATGAAGTCCAGTGAAAATATGTTCTTATTTTTCCACAGTTAAAAGGCAAAGGTCCCTATCCTCCCGGTTACAACAGACCTGATGTGTCACAGTTGGTCAACCCCGGCCAAATTGGTGGTCAATTGCATAATTTTACAAAGAGGGCAGTCGGAGATGAGGTTAGACGGAAGCGTTGACGGATAGGAAAGAACTGTAGCATTTGGGTTTGGTGGAGGTTTCTAGAAATATATTTTGTAGGAAGAATTGCAGATATTTTAATAAAAACAAAAAAAGATATAACAATAGACTGATAGTCACACTTGGTCAACCGGGCCGTAATTTAGTAACCCGCCGCATATTTTAGTTATTACAACATAAGGGAGTTTTGGGGGAAAAAAAAAAGATGCTATTTTGATGTCTGAAGGGACGGGTGAATAGTTCAGGTGGTAGGATGTTCTATCTTAATCGATGAATTTATGCACAGATTGCTCCCATTCCGGATAACTAAGGCCAAGCGGGTGGGTACGGGGAATGGTCGTGCAAGGGGAATGAATTCGCCCAGATCCCTCTCCCCCCCACCTCCGCTCACAGCCGTGCGTTTTCGTTTATTTAAATTGAAACGACGTAGTTCTAATTAGTAGACTACGTATAATTGCAGACGGCGTCCTCGTCTCGCCCACCCCGGGGTAATTGGTTTTCTGTGTAATCATTATATGACCATTAAAAATCCTGCATACACACTTAAATTATAACTGATTGTCTTCTGGGTGCAGGGACAGTGGAAATTGCCTGGGATTAAGTTCATTTCATTTATTATTAACGTTAGCAATGATACCCGTCGTTGCGCGGGACAAGTTCCTTTCTTTTATTTTGCTGTGCCACGAATAAAAAAACGTTGAAAGGCCGGTTCCAGAATTTCATGATAAGGATTGAGCAAAAAGAAAGAGTCTTTCGAAAGTACAAAGATGGGTGAAAATGCTGGAAAATTACGAAATATGTTTCTTGGATGTGCCAGTCGTGTAATGAATAATTGTTCATCAGAGTGCCGAGTTCCAATTCCAGTTGGGTTCGTTATATTCACTCCCGGCAAAAAACCCTTTATGATTAGAACCACAAAATTTTTTTAATAACCTACAAAAGGTCGAAAAGTATGATTTCCCCTCTTTTCCCCCAGTTATGGGTTAATTAGTAAGACTTGTATCACTAAATCATTATTATCTCGATTATATTATCTGATTAGTGAGTACAATCCTGACTCGGTGGTCCACACTTTCGGCCTTATGCCACATTTAAGCAACGCATAGAAAGTCATTTTCGGGCCCTTCGCCGTGGAGTAATGGTTAACAAGCTTGTTTCGCTAGAACAATTACGACTGAGTAGTGAGTTCGACCCTGAATGAGTGCTTCACACTTTCGACCTTGTGTCACATGTGAGTTAAGTTCAGGACACCGTTTGGGGCACATTAGTGGTGTAATGCTTGGCAAGTTTGTTTAGCTCGATCAGTTACGACTGATAGTGAATTCGATCTTGGATGAGTGCTCCATACTTTCGGCCTTGTGTCACATCTGAGTAGCGCCTAGGAAACTTTGGTGGTGTAATGGTTGGCAATCATGTTTAGTTCGATCAGTTATGACTGAGTTCGAGTCTCACTGGGTGCTCTCTACTTTGGTCACATCTGAGTTTGGATTATTAAATCAATATTAAGATATCAACAAAGGAGTCCTTCCGTGCAGACATTGATTAATTTTGTAAGTTAAAAAAATAACTTGATGCTTTATAATAAACAATCATTTCTTTTTAGCTGCTATGTCTCGTCAGGACGATAGCGATCCTGACTCACGATAATTCTAACCTTTACTCTTTGAGAAACGTCATAACTTCTTAAGAAAGATAGTAGTTTCCTCTTGTCTTTTCAACGGCTTTTGAATTCGCACTCCAAGTTTACAATGGCCATTTAAACTATATGACCCTTTTGCTAACAAGCATGCATTCCATCTACATACAATTCATTTATCCATGGCCTTCTTTTCTTTGACCTGAGAGGAGATCATACAGTACAGAAACACGTACCAAAGTTAATTGTGAATTTCATAATCTTTTCAATGGCTGTATTCGTACTGCCTCCCTCCCGATACGCGCCCGTTGTTGTTCATGATGACGGTCGTCTTCGAGTATAGAATCCAGAGGTTAGTAGTGAATAATTCGAAGACAGTAGGGAAGCGTAGTTCAGGTTATCAGTGGATATCCCGGTAAAAGTAGCAGAGCGTAGTTCAGTAGTTCTTCCTTCTGGTCCTTTCGCCTGACAAGATGGCACTGGACATTCGGAGAGAGTAAACAGAATTGCCGCCTTTATACACGACGGATTGAATATTTTACGTTATCTGATTGGTTAACCTTCTATTCGTGGACTATAAAGTGAGTCAAGTCATTTGGGCTAACTCACTAGTTACACAATGTATTCAAAAATTGTAACACCCGTCTCACGCGCGACCGTCTCCTGAGATAACTAAGTTACATATTCAATATTAAAAAATCAATTTTTAAAAATTGTCTGTTTTGTTATCTTTCTCACATCTGACTTTTTCAGTATTTATGTATAAGCAATTGTTCTGTTGTTTTAAACATTTAATTGTTTAGTTATGAGATAACGTTATTTTCAGCATTGAAAGTGGTAACTATCTTAGCATTTAGACCACAGCTTGGGATGTTTTTAAGATAGAATTCCGGCTGAGTTTGTTGCATTCACTTTTGCAAAATACCTTTGTGAAAATGTATGCATTCATCTCTTCTCCCATTGCTATGGATTAAATAACATAACAGACTGGGATCTCTTGTGTAGGAGAATTCAAAACCGTATGTAACCCCGGCGAGGCGCTTACTATTTAAAAGATTCTACTTTTGATTGATTGTATCTCCGACGAATTAAATAATATTTATGTTGGTCACACCACAAACTCGCTTTCACGACGCTTGACACTACATTTGAATGAAAAATCTAACATTTTTAGGCATTTAAAACAACATGCCTGGCTGCACACACAATTCCGGAAAAATGCTTGTCGAAAACACAAGTATACTTCAACATGAAAACAATAGACAAAAACTAAAAATCCTTGAAGCAATATATATCAAACAGTTAAAACCTAACCTAAACAAAATCAACTATGGAATCTCCACAGATATCATTAAATATCTATAATTCGTAAGAGAAGCCATTGGTTTATACCAACGGCTTCCCATACTTAATACTTCTCGAATTCACTCTCGCGTGGTCATGTGTGACGTCATGAGCTGCGGTGCGATTTTCGCTTCTAACATCTTATATGCACGTGTTTATCGTTGCTAGGAAATCATCCATGTAAACAAGAAACAGACTATCATCACTGTCTTGTCCGTATATTGCTTAATATATTGTACATGTAATTGACATCTTTGATAATGGCTTATGTAAGCCGAAAGCTTAGATTGGATTAAAAATATGGATCAATATTGTGATTTTCTTTCTTCGTTTAATGATAATGTTATTAAACTTATCAGACGTTATGAAAAGAATTTACATAAAATAAATAAACAACACTTGTCTATATTATTTAATGAAATATGTATGAATGAAAAATGCTTCCCAAATACACACACACATATATATATATATATATATATATATATATATATATATATATATATATATATAAAGTTATTTGATGGTGTAAATATATTCCCAAACATCTTGGAAGTATGGTGGTGGTGATGGACTCTCCCGTCGTATTCGACGTATGAGGGTCAAAGGAAGCGACAGTCAGACACCAGCATATAGGATTTGATTATAGTGAGGAAGGCTTTGTGCAGAACCAACTATATACTTTTTGAAAATTCCAAAAACATAAACCTGGTAAAACTAAAAATATTTCTTGAATTCAGAGTTATCCTTCCCTAGAAGTTGCCATCCAAGGCTATAGAACCCAGTCTGTCCTGCTATTTACCCATAGCTGGAGGGAGAAAAGGATTCATACCTTTTAAAAAAAAATATTAGTATAAAGGAATGTAATGGAAAATTGGAATTGAAATCGGATCTCCAATTTCCTAAAAAAATAGAGCCGTTATCCATTTTTTCACCGTGCCTCCTTTTCCTATTGATTTATATATATATATATATATATATATATATATATATAAATGTAATTCGTTGATATATAATAAAGAAAACCGTTATTAATACAATATAAAATATTAGATATTAAAATTGATTCACTCAAAGAGCTCAATATTTTAATTAAACAGAGCAACATATTTTTATATAATAGGAATTAAGATTACATTAGGTTAATGATCATTTTCACCTTGTAAATTGAAATAAAATTTTTCAAACCAGTCAATGGTTGATAAATTACTGAAATAAATCTGTCCAAACAGAAGAAAGAAAGAAAGGAGAAAAAATGGAAAAAAGAAAAAAAAGAGAAAAAGAAAAAGAGAGCAAATAAAAGCAAGGAATTAGTGTAAGTCTGACTATGAGGAGTGGTTACAGGAGAAAGGAAGAGGAAATAAGAGGGTGAATATATATATATATATATATATATATATAACAAAAACAAAAAATGTAGATTTCAATTAACCCCACCGATACATTTATAATACGCTTGCTTTTCTTCTCTATCCACCTTCTTTTTTTCTTTTTCTTCTTCTCCTTCTTCCTTCTCCACATGCTCCCCCTCTCTTTCTATCACACCCAACGTTTGTTTATTTATTTTATAATATAGTGTTCACTATTTTTTTAGATAAATCGTTGGGAAGTCAGTTGATAAAAATCGCCTGAAGATCCGTAAGGTTGAAAAAAAATTTAGGGAATCAGCTGAATTTCCAATTTTTAAAGGTATATATATATATATATATATATATATATATATATATATATATATATATATATTGTGTGAATTTAAAGGGCGAATAATTTTTTTTTTGAAGATTGAATATTGTATTTAAAATGTTTTGGAAATAATAATTTTCATCCAAAAGTCCTATTATTTATGCCATAGCTAGGGGAGAGAGAGGTGATTGATTCCTACCCCTCTCAAAGTGAATGCAACGAACTCGACTGGAATTCGAACTCTGCTCCTCGGCAGATCCTAGCTTACCCAACCTGGCTTTCCCAAGAGATCTAGGTACTGACCAGGTTCGACGTTGTGTAACTTCGGTGATCGAACGAGAAACGATGTTTCAATGTGATATGGCCGTAATTCAAATCTAATAGGAAAAACGCAATGAATATATGCATAATACATACATACCTTAAAAAGGATGCTTGTAGTGTAATGGTTAACGAACTCACTCAAGACCGGGTTTGGTCATTGGGTCGCTGCGTTGTTGAGAAACTAACCAATTCCTTACACATATCCGGATTACAAGCTGAAGTGGGTGGGAATTCACTCATCGTATCTTGGGTATGTAGTTCTGACGGAGACTAGCTCTCTCTCAAGGTCAAACGATAGCTGTTGACCTCCAGTTGGATTTAACCTCCAATTGGAATTGACCTCCAATCGTGTTGGTCGTTTTTAATTCATCCTAATGAATTCGTACCCTCTGCCCTGACCGTTGAATTTGGTCACCCCCGCCCATATCATCACCACACCGATTGCATCCATAACTACAGAATCCTGTTTGAGCCTAAGAAGAACGTTCCTGCGCCCTTTGAAAAGTCTTGTTTTGAATCCTGCTAAGTGTCTTGTCGCGCGTCTCATTAGAAAAGCCTGGTGAAGGAACCAATTTAGTCGCCGATGAACAGACCATGAAGCAGGTTGTATCGGGATACATGGTATCAGTAGCACTGCTAGGGGGAAGTGGCCTAAATAGGTTTGTACACTGATAGTAGAATTTTACACGCGACACAGGGAATCTTAATTCTTACACAGCAGACGGTAAGCATCATTGATTATTTGTACGCAATTACACTTTGAAATTACGATTTAAACTACAAAATTATACCGGACACACCTTTTAAATTCCTCTCTCGATAGAATTCTTCTATTTATCCCTAGGTGGAAGGTCTATTAATCACTGGATGGGCCACATCTATATATATATCTCGATATACTGGGTATATTCCTCATTGGATTGACTGCGTCTATGTCATTTCGATAGACTGGGCCTATTTAAAACTCGACAGACTGGGTTCTATTAAGCATTGGAAGGACTGGGTCGCTATATATATATATAAATATATATATATGACAATATATGGTTGAATATATTATATATATATATATATATATATATATATATATATGACAATATAAGGTTGAATATATATATATATATATATATATATATATATATATGACAATGTATAGTGAATATATATATATATATATAGATAGATAGATCCAGTGACAAGACCCAAAGAGTTCAATACCCGGTTAAGGCAGTGGAGAACTTACAGAGGGGAATTAACAGGGGATAACTGATAATTGACCTCACTTAGACATGGCACGTGGAACTAGAACAGTCTACCCCAATGACCGAAATAAAGGGTTCAATTCGACATTCCAACCACCTGAAGAAGGGCGGAGCGTATAACGGTCGAAACGTTGTAATAAATATGGCGACAAAGGTGAGGACAATAGTACGAATAATGTAAAGAGCGTATATATATATATATACACACAATATATATATATATATATGTGTGTGTGTGTGTGTGCGTGTGTGTGTGTGTGTGTGTGTTTTAAAATTAAGATATAGGATTCCGGTAAAGTTTTTAAATTTTGACAACTGGAAACGTTTATGAAAGTGGACTTGTTTAGAAATATATTCGGTAATGCATTTCGCCATCTAAAACTTTATCACATCCGAAAACAAAATAATTAAATGTGTGTATGTGTATGTGCATGTGTATTGTTGTGTATGCTTAAATAATGTATCTTTTCCCCCCTAAGCTAGCGTTTCTCTTGATTAAAGAAGAAAGAAAATGAGTGACTTTTGAAAAATGTCGTTAGCATTTATTCTGGTATCTTTTCGTTACTCTGAGTTCATGTCGAAAGTTGTTAATATATTTTCCCTGTTTTTTTGTATTGAATTAAAAGCAAAAGAATGGCTCGAAATTAAGAAATTTATTTAGCCTTTTCTAAAAATGGATCCTATGATAATCCTTCAAAATGGGTTGAAATAATATACATATATATATATATATATATATATATATATATATATATATATATATATATAATGTTCCGATGCTCATATATTATGCTCTACTGTTGTATCGAGCACTGTTTTTCAAAATAAAATAGATGCTAAAACTCTGAATATATATATATATATATATATATATATATTTAAGTTATGAAGAACTTGGTAAACCGAATTGGTAAATCCAAGGAGGATGAAATCCTGAGAGCTCAGTGTGAAGAACAGAGCTAATATTTAATATAAAAAAAACATTAATGGTACCTTAAAGTGGTCTGTTTTTCATTATATATATATATATATATATATATATATATATATATATATATATATATATATATATATAAATGGCACTGTGGATAGTGGATAGCTGCTCCGATTGAGGAATCAGAAGCTGAACATTTAATACCCTTGGGAAAGGTATTATTCCACTTCTACTCCCTCCAGCTATGTGTAAATAGTGTTGGATGGCAACTGGTCTAGGAGAAGGACAACTCTGAATTCAAAGCCTGTCATTTGGGGACCTTGTGGCATGTTGGGTACCAGGTCTCTGTATTCGGCCCTACAAAATGTGTCGATGGTCCTGCACGAAACTTTCACCACTATAACCAAATCTCATGTGCCGGACATAATATATTATGTTGGCCAAAAAATTCGTTCGGCTTATTAAGTAAATTTTCTGCTTAATAAACGAACTAACATTTTGTTCAACCCAATATAATGAAAGCAGAATCTCCCCAATTTGGAAAGAGTTTATCAAGAAACACCATAACAAACGCAGTAATTTAAAAAAAAAATTACAATGTGGCAATGTTGAAACTATGACGTCACGAACTGTATATGACGTAATTATAACTTTTGATTTAATGCGAAGCGCGTATTTATGTTTTCACTTACGTTGTCACCATCTTCTAAAAACAGTTTGGTGTCAATATGGCACGGCGTTTTTCTTTAAGTCAATATTGAGTCAGTTCGAGTCAACGTTCAAATACAACTTTTAAAGATCAGGAAAGTAATTTTTTGTCAGTTTCTAAGATTTTAGTCGCTTTGTTCATTATTATTATTTTTTTTCATCAGTCCGTATTTGAATTCAGGGAAAAAGAAACAAACAAAATCAACACCTAAGCAAAAGATTGCCAGAAAATTTTATATACTGGAAGAGATTACTTCAATTTAAAAATATATATATATATACATATAGATATATATATTAAAACTGATTATTTAAGAAGAAGAAAGACACATCCTCAACAAACTATTTTCGTTTTTGATTCATTAAGATCTTTGGTAGCAAAATGGCAGCAACTCGGAAGATCAGCACGACCTCCCTACGCAACATCCGGGATCTTTCCAAAGGCGAAACGATTGAATTTTTACGCAAGCACATTAACCCGAACTTAAAATGCATCGAAGATCTGGGTACCGGTGTTGACCTTTGCCTGGCCATGAACCAACTATTTCCCAATTCGTTCGATCTGCATAAGCTGAAGAAGGGCTCACACCTCAGTGAAAACGACAAGCGGAATAATTTCAATCTCCTTCGAGAAGCCTTCAAGACATCGGGCATCAACAAGAACTTCCCATCAGAGGTCATGATGCAGCAAAACTTTCAATCGAATTTTTACTTTGCTCAGTGGTTCGTGCGATTTTTCGAGGCCAACCAGAAGCGAGGCGACAAAGACAACAACAACGTGAAAAGCAAGGTGCCGACGAAATCACGAAAAAACATTCAAGGAGGAGCCAGACTGATGCCGAAAGAATCCACTCCGAGAAGCCCCAAGAGTGAAAATCGATCATCAGAGATTCTGACTCCTACGGTAGTGTTAACAAAAGCAATACACAGAAAGCCAGTACTGTACCGAAGTTTGGCTTATGGAAAATTCAACTACTCGTTACCAGTAGAGATCATCTGCAAAGAGCAGACAACTCAGACGGAAGAGAGCTTAAGTCTTGAAGACAGAGTTGAAAGACTTGTGGAAACCCAAAGACAGTTGCAGCGGATCGGCATGGAACAAATAGAATGCATCCAGAATCTGCAGAAAGATAACGAGAACCTTGCCGAATCTTTGGAACATACAAATTTGCAGAAATCTTATTTTCACAAGAAGCTGGACCAGATTGAAGAAATATGCGAAGACTGTCCTACTGAGTCTTTGCGGATATCGTTGAAACGGGTTTTGTACGAGGAAGGTCTTCCTATGTAACATATACCTGCCTGTTTTTTCGTATTTCAGATTTAATGAATCAACTTCTTTTACACTCGCGTCTTTTATTGCATAAATACCTGAAAATTTGCTGTTTGTATAAACTAATGATATCATAGGTAGTTCTAACAGATTTCTTTAAGAGACGCTTGAAATTAATCCTCTTTTATGCGTCAGGACGAGGTGGGTGGAGTCATTGCATTCCCACAAATCTTTGTCGTTATTTTGCTATAGATATAAGTTGGGTAAAGGAATTATTTTACTGCAGTAATATTTTAGTATAGAAATTATTTTACCATAAGAATTAACCTACTAATTTCTCCCACACAATTGTAAAATATTAGCAAGATGAAGACACCGTTGCCACTAATTACGTACTATTATGTGGAAGGTATTTCTGGGAGGTATATGTGGGCGGTATTTCTGGAAGGTATACGTGGGCGGTATTTCTGGAAGGTATTTCTGGAAGGTATATGTGGAAGGTATTTCTGGAAGGTACTTCTGGAAGGCATACGTGGGAGGTATTTCTGGAAGGTATACGTGGGCGGTATTTCTGGAAGGTACTTCTGGAAGGCATACGTGGGAGGTATTTCTGGGAGGTATATGTGGAAGGTACTTCTGGAAGGCATACGTGGGAGGTTTATGAATGTTTATGTGGCAATGTTTATCTTTATTTCTACTCGTTGTTCCGTCATCTGTTTACACAAGTCCGTTAGGTACGTTACTCGCTGTTTCCCTTGGCCCCTCTTGCCTTCAATTTGTCTTATGCTTGTCAAATTCTCCAAGCCCACTTTTCTCGTTATGTGTTTCGGCAATTTCAACTGTTTCTTTCTAATTCTAAATGTTTTGTTGGCTTCCTTAAAACCTCTTCGCTGATCACATGCTCCATCCATGGTATTCCCAACATCCTTCTGTAGAACCAGATCTTTGTTGACTCTAGTCTCCTCTACATCTATAAGAAAATTTTACAGCACTCATTGCTATAAGGAAGCTTTAATATTACTTCATATCTTTCGTTGTTTCTCTCAAAATAATTAACAATTTACTTCCTTTGTTAAAAAATATGCAGTGCATTTCAATAGTAAAATAATTCTTATAGTAAATCGATTACTATAGAAAATTAAATAATTTAGTAAATTAATTTCTATCGTAAAATGATTACTATAGAAAATAATAACTATAGTAAATTATTCACTCGATAGACTGGGTAAATTCATCTCTCGATAAACTGGATCTATTAATCACTGGATGGACTGAGTCTATATATATATATATATATATATATATATATATATATATATATAGAGAGAGAGAGAGAGAGAGTTCGGTATAAATACTTCCCACATATACCTCTCAGGAATACCTCCCACATATACTTTCCAGAAATACTTCCCACATATACCTTCCAGAAATACCTTCCACATATACCTTCCGGAAATACCTCCCATATATACCTTCCAGAAATACCTCCCACGTATGCCTTCCAGAAGTACCTTCCACATATACCTTCCAGAAATACCTCCCACGTATGCCTTCCAGAAATACCGCCCACATATACCTCCCAGAAATACCTCCCACGTATGCCTTCCGGAAATACCGCCCACATATAGCTTCCGGAAATACTGCCCACATATAGCTTCCGGAAATACCGCCCACATATACCTTTCAGAAATACCGCCCACATATACCTCCCAGAAATACATCCCACGTATGCCTTCCAGGAATACCTCCCACGTATGCCTTCCGGAAATAGTGTGCCCACATATAGCTTCCGGAAATATCGCCCACATATAGCTTCCGGAAATACCGCCCACATATACCTCCCAGAAATACCTCCCACATATGCCTTCCGGAAATACCACCCACATATACCTCCCAGAAATACCGCCCACATATACCTCCCAGAAATACCTCCCACGTATGCCTTCCAGAAATACCGCCCACATATACCTTTCGGAAATACCGCCCACGTATATCTTCCGGAAATACCGCCCACATATAGCTTCTGGAAATACCGCCCACATATACTTCCCAGAAATACCTCCCACATATGCCTTCCGTAAATACCACCCACATATACCTCAAAGAAATACCGCCCACATATACCTCCCAGAAATACCTCCCACGTATGCCTTCCAGAAATACCGCCCACATATACCTCCCAGAAATACCTCCCACGTATGCCTTCCAGAAATACCGCCCACATATACCTTTCGGAAATACCGCCCACATATAGCTTCCGGAAATACCGCCCACTTATACCTCCCAGAAATACATCCCACGTATGCCTTCCGGAAATACCGCCCACATATATCTCCCAGAAATACCTCCCACGTATGCCTTCAAGAAATACCGCCCACATATACTTCCCAGAAATACCTCCTACGTATGCCTTCCAGAAATACCGCCCACATATTCCTTCCGGAAATACAGCCCACATATAGCTTCCGGAAATACCGCCCACATATACCTCCCAGAAATACCTTCCACATAATAGTACGTAATTAGTGCCAACGGTGTCTTCATCTTGCTAATATTTTGCAATTGTGTGGGCGCAATTAGTAGATTAATTCTTACGGTAAAATAATTTCTATACTAAAATATTACTGCAGTAAAATAATTCCTTTACCCAATTTATATCTATAGTAAAATAATTCCTGTAGTAAAATCTTTTCATTTCTTATTTTAAAATGTTTATGCACAGAATGATATGATTACAAAACATCAAATAAGAGATAAAATACCGCCAGTCATCTGATGATTCAAATGTCAAATTTATTGTTTTATTAGTACGGGTGTATGTTGAAAGAATTTACCTTGTTTTGTCCCTTTTATGCTTATTTTTAATACGCGTGATTATGTTTACTTTAAAAGCGTATACAAAGTTGTGGACAGAATTATTCACTCCCACTACTCCCCTAATTCCAAATAAAACTGTAATACCTCAAATTTTCATGTGCATTTTTTTCACAAATGAAGAAATAATGGATTTGAAAGAATCTGCTGTGATGCCTAAAACAAAATTTTTATTTTAATGTCAAACAATAATACAAATAACACCCAAAAAACATTTAACATGGGACAAAATTATTAACCCCCTTGACTCAGTAATCAATTGTGTAACCGTTATTCTTGATTATTGCTTTTAATCATTTTTGATAGTTCCTTACAAGATCATTATATTCAGTGATAGATATTTTGCAACAGTTCTTCCTTGGTAGTAGCTTCTAGTTCCATCAAATTCGAAGGACTTCTTTCTCTTACTTTTTTCTTTAACTATGCCATAATTTTTCCATGGTGTTTAGTATAGGACCTTGTGCAAGGTACGCCAATACCTTAATTTTGTTGTCATCTAAGTATTTTGCAACAATTAGTACCATGCGTTTCGAGTCATTACCATGTTGGAACCTCCAGTGACACCAAAAGGTAGCATTTGTGCACTTTGTTTTATATTATTTTTAAGAATAACCAAATACTGTTCTTTATCCATGATACCCTGTAGTCTCACTAGTTCTCCTGGTCCAGAAGCAGCAAAAAAAAAATCCCCAGATAAAAATGCTCCCACCTCCGTGCATAGTTGTAAGGTATGTTTTGTTTTGTGAGCTTTATTCACTCTCCTTCATACATAACGGGAGATCATGTGACAAAATACTTCTAGTTAGGTTTCATCTGATTATAAAAGAGTGTTCCAATATTTACTCCCATGTTCTAGATGGCTTCTAGCATAAGCTTATTCTGCATTTTAGGTGTTTAGCCTTAAGCAAGAGTGTTTTCCTTGGGCGACAGCTCGAAATCCTGCTCGATGAAAGCATCTCGTGACTTTCTTTATCAATATATTCAAACTTGGTATGTTTACATCATCGATAATGTCCTTTGTTGTTAAGTGAGGATTCTTCAAGACATCTCTAATAATTTTCCTTCTCATTCTCTCAGAAATTAACCATTTTCTGTTAGTCCTTAATTCAATCTTAACACAATGAGTCTCGTTGTACTTCATGATAATGTTACGAATTGTCACTCAAGGAACATTTAAACGTTTGGAAAGTGTTGTATGTCCATCCCTTTGAATGTACGCATTAACTATCTTCAATCAGAGCTTCTTGTCAAGTTCAGCCCTCTTCGCCATTGTTGCAGAATGAATGAGTTATCACGGTACGTGGCACTCATATATTGTCTTCTTCATTACCTTTTAGAATGTTATAGAATCAGGTCAATACTATTTCATTTTCAAAGGCTGTTTGTATTAAATATCAAATTAAGAAAAAAAAACATTACAATTGCCATAGAGCAATATTATTTCATAATTTCCATGAGGTGACGAATAATTTTTGAAACACTGTTTTAGAAAACTCTACAGTTATGACTCTAATAGATCGAACCCTTTAAAAAGTTCGTGAATTATTCAAAACTAAACACGGAATCAACTGTTTATGGCAAATTCAGTAAACACTTGCAAATATTCGCATTTCCTTAGAAAATATACAAATATTCAGTGGGAGCGAATAATTTTGTCCAACTATATATATATATATATATATATATATATATATATATATATATATATATATATATTGTCATCATCCACAGACAGACTGTTTCGCCGTATCACAGCTCATTAGTGTGGCTAGACGTCCGGTTGCCTCTAGGTAGAATCGAAACCAGACTGAATTGGCGCCAGCAGGGATTCTACCACTAAGCCGTTGGCGCACGGCAGTGATGCAGGTGAATTTAAACGTATTTGTTTTTAGATAAACACGCAGTGACTGAGAGAACTCGATTCGATTTACCGAAGAGTCTTGCATTATTAGCCGTAATAGTCACTGTTTATAAACCGACACTTCCTCTCCAGAGAGCTCAACCGAAATAAATTTTTCAGGATATTTATTTATTTAATGTAATCTCCCTTATAGTGGGACGTTTGTTCTTGCAAAAATCCATACTATCTGTAAGGACAAAAGTACGCAGGTGTAGGCTTTAAGAAATCTTTATTCAATTGAGAATACAAGGTTCACGTATAGTGTCCTTTTATAATCCCAGTAAACAGAAATAGCTCTCTGAAAGAGGAGAGTAACAAAACAAGGGGAGACCACTCTTGATTATTCATAACCTTAACATATTTTAATTTCGTAATTGGGCACATTCCCTCCTCCCCATATTCCATGTCATAATTTGTTTATAGTAAAACAAAACAAAACAAACAATTGTATATATTTTCATGTCATGGGTGTTTTGGTAGGATCCTTGTGAATATGCGGTATTATTGTACGTGTTGAATTGAATGGCAATGAATGAAGTCTTGTGTTGCATGAGTAAATTGTAATGAATAGTGGACCAGATTAACTAAGTGTAGGATAGTCAGTGATGGCTAACCTTTCTCCACCTCCATTTGGCCTTGTGCAACATGAAATGTAATATTTGAAAATGAAAAAAAATTCTACAAAAATTAAATGCATAGTAACTATAACGAAGATGCATTTTCACTTAGAAAAATCATAAAGAAATATACAAATCGAGTTGATAAAAACAAAAAAAAATTAAATTATTTATTATAAAAATTGAAAACAGCTAACCTCTTTGGCAAAAAAAAATAATTCACGTGCAAGATCAAAATTACAGAGAACCAATATTATTTACAAATTTCCATGTCTCTTAAGAAGCTTTGTTCCTGACCAATTGAAATTTGTAAATAATTATATTGGATATACTACAACATGTTTAACAAGAAGACTCACGTTACATCACCCTGACCATAGCTCTATTAGGTCTCGTTTTAATACACATGGAGACATATCAAACTTTATCCGCAACATACTTGTTGATAATACAAATATAATAGCCTTATCCACATGTAAAAAATAGGCTAAAAATAATGGAGGCATTATTAATAAAAAAGAAAAAAAAGTTTAAATAATGTTTAAAGCAATTACACTTCATGCCAATGGAAAACGTGAGCCCAAGAAGGTGCAAAGAGTTACTCTTCTGGACCTCTCCATACTGATGGCAGGCAGAAAAGGTTCTCTATGATTATTAAATAAAAATCCTGAAGCATATGATCAAAACAATAAAATTGTAGACAGAAACTGCATAACATAATCTTATATTTGTATTGTATATTGTTACAGGACTTCTCTTCACCAGCCAAAGATTTTCAATGATTTAATTGTTAAATTCAAATGCAACACATACTTGTAATGGACAACAAGTTCTATGTCCTAAAGATTGATTACTTTACAGACCCTTCTTTGAATTTTAATATTTAAAGGAACCTCCACACACAAACAACCCGATGTGAGTTGTCCCCCTTCCATTTTCACGATGTCTCTTAATCGTGTTTTCAAATTGATTTTGTGCAAAAACAATTATATTTTTCCCATTTTTGGCGCTGTTAGAACCGCCACAAGGTAATTTTATGTAGTCCTGTGAAGTTTTGTTGAAATCGGTTGAAAAATGTAGGAAATCCGATCCAATATATAAACGTTACAGACACACACACTCACACACACACACACAATCTGCGTTTTATAATAAGTAAGATTGTTACATGACTTCTCTTCACTAGGCAAAGATTTTGAATGATTTAATTGTTAAATTCAAATGCAACACATACTTGTAATGGACAACAATGCAAAATTCTGTGAAAAAGAAGAAAAAATAGGAGTTTTTAACATAAGCAGTTGTTAAAATTCCACAAAACTATTTCTACGTCCTCAAGACTGTAACAGGATTTTACTTGTTTATTTAAATACGCCCCCTTTCAGAAATTTAGAATAATTCTTTAATAACCAGTTTTTTTTTTTGCTGTCCACCCTGTTGATAATAGAAAAACAATTAAAACTTCATTCTTGTTTACACTGATAATTATTCAATAGATGTTTGCAAATTGAGGATTTTTTAATTCACAACCAGATATTCCGTTGTATGTCCATGTTAATGACGAGATGTCTCGCCAATACAACTAACTTGAAAGTTAACGCATGCAAACTTATATACGATACTTCCTATAGAATCAAGCGTTATTTTAACTTTATTTGAAAATTTTCTCACAACAATCCTTGTGAAAACAATCCTTAACAAGGCTTCATGCTTACGAAACCTTTTGATCACATTATTCATTTTAAATTGAATAATTTTTAAGTAGTCCCTTAAGTATCGAAAAGAGGGTAATATTCACCATTGTTTACACTGATAATCATTTGATAAATATCTTTAAATTGAGGATTTTTTAATCCTCAACCAGATATTCCATTGCACATGCATAGAAATAGCGAGATATCATGCCAATATAACTAACTTCACAGTACAATCACGTTGGCGATCATCGCTCTCCACATTTTCTTGTCCTTTATAGCTTTTATTAAACTTTTGTCTTTTTGCTATCACTCCCAA